ATTCAGGCACTGGTAAGCGGCTCACTACGCATCAGGACACTTAACTCTGTTAAGGGAACATAGTGAGCAAAGATGCTCCCTGCTATCATGGTGCATTGTGGGAGTTTTTAGGGAGTGAATGATTCAATGCCCTGGAAGGAAACTGTGATTGAAAGAGCCCTTTAATGGTCCCTATAGTTTCTGAAGTGTGCAACCTCTGAACACTGAGCTACCCCGTAATGGTGTGGGAGTGGAGGAGCTGCCAAGACAAACAAAACAAAACAAACAAAAAACAAACAAACTGAAAGCACAATGAAAGAACAATAGCTCACGGCTGATTAAATATATCTGGGAATGTTTTGACAGTCAACGCCTGCATACCTGAAGAACATACTTCACTCACTACATACACACTCTCAACACACAAGATATCTGCGTGACATTATTTCATAAAATCATGTTTTACTGGAAATCGGTGTCCTCAGTACTTGTGTAATAGGTAGTAACTTTGATCAAACTTTGATTTGTTTGTTTGCCTTGCCTGGAGGTGTGAAGGTTATATACTGCAGTGTTCCGGCTGGTTGCTAGGTGGTAGCTAGGATGTTGATAGTTGTTAATAATAATAGTTTTAAATGTAAAGTCCCTGTCAAGCAAACATGCGCTTGAGGCTGCAGTCGCTGTGTGTGTCTGTATAGACTTCACCTGTTAGAAAAAAAGCATTACTGGTGTGCATCTTAAGACAAAACAAAGCCACTGACATGTTTTAAGATCAGTCAGTGCAATTCTCTTTCAGTTGAAACAGCTCAGATTTACATTTTAGTCTAGGACTAGGCTTAAGCCTTGTCTGTGAAACCAGGGGTAAATCTCTCAAGATCTCAGCAGAAGATGATTGAACAACTCTACAAACAGCATCACCAGCTTCACACATTACTAACCAGATCTCAGCAGAAGATGATTAAACAATTCTACAAACAGCATCACCAGCTTCATGCATTACTAACCAGTTAGACTATCTAAAACAGAAGTTCTTTATTAAGAATTAATGTTTAGATGTTTTTTTTTTTCAACTTACTGTTTTTGTGAATAGTGGTTGCTTTAGTTGCCTCTTGACCCTTGACTTTTTAAATGTAAGTTTCGCTTTGGCTGGCACAATTGTGTGTGTTAAACACATATGAGATGGCAAGGAACTTATGGTAAAATCATGTCATGCGTCTGAGTCTCTGATTGAAATTTATCTAAAACTGTAGTGCTTTTATGCTTTTTATATTGTTGCAATACATTCTATATACATTTCTATATTGTATTGCTATATTGATAACAACGTCAGAAAATCTTCATAAATGATCTTCATCAAAATCTTCATAAACATTATCACATGCTGATTCTTCATAAACTTTTATAAATATGGTTCATAAAGAGGTTTCAATGCTGGCACTCATAGACATGAAGAATCAACATGTGAATCTCAGCAATGGTGACAAAATATTCTGATCATTTTTATGTGATTTTTGAACGTCACAAAACAAAGCAGTAAAAAGTCACAACAAAAATAAAAGCAAAAAATAAAAGAAAATACTAAGACGATGCAGCTGCATTGTAATAACTAGTCTCTCAGCCTTCACCATTGTAATAACTAGTCTCTCAGCCTTCACCATTGTAATAACTAGTCTCTCAGCCTTCACCATTGTAATAACTAGTCTCTCAGCCTTCACCATTGTAATAACTAGTCTGTCAGCCTTCACCCGTGTAATTACTAGTCTCTCAGCGCTTCACCTGTGCAATAACTAGTCTGTCAGCGCTTCACCTGTGCAATAACTAGTCTCTCAGCCTTCACCCGTGTAATAACTAGTCTCTCAGCCTTCACTAGCAGCATCTCAAGACAGCACACACAGAGCTCTGACCTGACAGTATGAGAGGTGAGGGTTTGACCACAGACCCGCGCTGAGTTATGGTTATTACACTGACAGATAACGGCAGCATGTTAGACCACTGCGAACACTTCGTGCTTCTGAAGTAAATGCATCAGAAACAGTTCTGGACTTCTCCCGGCTTCCGTCACTCAGTTAGGTTTGTTGGTGAAGCTGTGAATGAGAGCATCAGCTGGGCTCACTGTGCAGTTCCTCCCGCAGGAATGCGACGCGATAACGCAGAGTTTGAGACAGAAAGGCGTCTCTCACCTTGACTGAAGAGCGCAGTCCTCAACCGGCTGCTGACAGTCGAGTTTTCCATCGCGCTGAAACCGAAAGACCCTTCCGTGCTCCTAGAGACTCCTCTCTGGGAAATCCAGCGACTGAAGCAGCAGCGCTAGCGCGGACAGACGGCTGGAGTTTGCGCAGAGCGCATCACTGAGCGCTTTAAACGCAGCTCCGCAGCAGGCGTGACGTCACGCGCGCGTCAAAACAATCGCACATGGAGGAGCCAAGAGCAAGATTCTTCTGGAATGTAACATGTTCATTAGAAAGCGGCCTGCTCAAATCCTTACTAATTTTGTATTTTGAACAACGTTAAAGTGGCACGTTTCAAAATACTTCACACAATTTACCCATGTAAGTAGCTCTTTCTAAATTCTTGGACATTGATAATACTTGCGTCTTCTGTAACGCACACGAGGAAGACTTGTCTCAATTCTTTTATAATTGTGATTTGTCTTTCAGATTTTGGTAGTGCTTTTTTATTTGTGCACATAAATGCTCTCTTTAAATTATGTTATTTGCACTTTTTCCACACAAAAGCAAAATTACGTCGTCGTTAACTTTTATATTTTTGTAAGGTAAATATTATATTCATTAACAGAAATTTGCGAAATGCATACCAAAATGTAATTTATTTTTATTAGAAAGGGAATCTTTGAAAAAGTATCTAATGCAAATGAATAACAAAAAGAATGACATACTGTTAGATTTCATGGAGGATTTTTTATTTATTTATTTTTATGGTAAAGTTCTTGATTGTGTCCGAAGGAAAAAAGAAGAAAACTTGAACTATTGTTTAGTTGTTTATATGTATTTCTCTCTCTCTCTCTTCTTTTAATTGACCTACAGATTAAGATTGTTCTTCTTTTTTCTGTGTATCTGGATTTACTTCTTCGAATTTTCTGTAATGTTCAATAACTTCTGCTTTAAAAAAAAAAAAAAAAATGTACGAGCCAAAGCCGAGCTTCATTCCTCATCTTCCTGTCAGGCCAAATGCGTGGCAAATATAATGTAATCATGATAATACTATATGAATAAAACGAATCTTGCTATTATTATAATTGATTGTGACGTAATTTTCATGACAAATGAGTACATTTCCCCATATTCTTATTAAATGAATACAAAATAAATATTAACAAATAATGACCAATGTTTTAATCGTGTTTCCCCTGACATTACTTAAAATCATTATGTTAATCAAGGTTTCTTGCATGTCTTTCATGAGCATTTGCTCTCTCTCTCTCTGAGCTGAGAAATAAGCAGGCTGAGTACAGTGCAATGAGACTGTGAATGACCCCTGCTCTGTCAGTGTCTTCAGATGAATACATGACACATTGCACTGTCACTGTATCCACCACAGTCATGATCAGCTAAATATCTCATCAGTGGAGATGAAACCCTTGCATGAGTTAGTGTGGAGAGAGAGACAGCAGCGTATCATCAGGAGCATCACTTTATTCTGTCCTGAATCACCTCCGTTCACGGCCAGTACCTTTAAAGTGCAGAGTCATTTTCACAGCTTCAGTAAAAACATGAAATCACAGGAAACCATGAACATAAAACATCAAACTGAACGCGGAAACGTGGAACATATAAATACTTCGAGAACAAAAGGAAACAGGTAAGCGATGATGACATTAACTCATCCGGCTCAAATCACACGACGAGTCGTTGGCAAGGCTAGCGTTAAACAAAGGCACAGCAATGTGGAGGTAAAGCCATGGCTTCCAGAAGGAGAAGCTGCAGCAGTCCGTCACCAGATGGACTTCTGGCTTCCTCAGCAGTTTCTCACTGATGCGGATGAGTTTGTGAACAGATATGAACCGTGACACGACGTGATCTTCTTGGACGTCTATGAAGTGCTCTTTCTGAGCGTGTCCAGCCGCAGACTCACCACAGAAACACTAACAATGCACTCATCATCAACTCTCTGGAATGGCTTTCATAGTAATATGGCTTTTTGTTAACGGCAATACTGAGATTGTTGTTATCCAATATGATCAACAGGGCTCCAAAATTAAAGGGTTAGTTCACCCAAAAATGAAAATCCTGTCATGAATTACTCACCCTCGTGTCGTTCCAAACCCGTGAGACCTTTGTTCATCTTCAGACACAAGTTAAGATATTTGTGATGCATCCCGAGAGCTCTCTGACCCTCCGTAGACAGCAAGTGTCCTTACATGATCAAGATCCAGAAACGTAGCAAGGAGATCGATATGAAGATGAACGAAGGTCTTACGGGTTTGGAATTTTTCATTTTTGGGTGAACTATCCTTTTAATAAAGCAAGCCGGTGTTTGTCTGTAAGGAACGCAGTAACTGGCTTGAGGTCAGCTAGACTGATGCACACAGTATTAACCAGTAGCCAAATATCTGTTTAGACACTGTCAGAATCACACTGATAGTGAACACCGTCATTTAACAGCAGCTTTGATGAGGTGCTTTATATTAGTAACTGCACTGGGATCAGACGCGTCGTGCATCTGCTGCTCGGGGTCCGCGGCTCCATCAGTGAAGTGCATTCATACAGTCACCAAACCAAAGAAAGCAGCCGCTTTCACACATAGTGCAAATCAAAGCATTTCAACAGTTTAGAAAAGAGAAAATAGTGGTTCTATTCAAGAAGAGCAAAGAAGAGGCTGTTTTTACTTTTTTTCCGTCTGTACACGTGCTTTCCTGGAGGTCCTCCTTTGTGTTTTCTTAATAACATCTGTTGATCTTTACGAGAACAGCTGGATCAGTAGTGGAGCACGTGACAGTGACACATGCAGCGCATCCAGAGAAGATATTTACACCAGCGGACTCACTCACTCACTCACTCACTCACTCACTCACTCACTCACACACACACACACACACTCACTCACTCACTCACTCACTCACACACGTTCTGTCCGGGTCTGAAATCTTCAAACACAGGCCTGGGAACAAACTCCTCCAGATCAGTCCAACAGCACCGAGCGCTCCGATTGGCTGAGATCACCGCAAACCACAGGAAGTCCTGTCAGCTCGACGAGATTCATCCCCAAATCAAAAGAAAGAAATCAGAAATCCAATTTTGCACAATAACACGAAGCCTGTGAAAATCTTTGAGAGAAATCACCATAAAATACATTCATTACAACAGATACTAACGTGATGCATATTTACTTTACAATTTAAATACTAAATCATCATTAAAAGAAAAGGCTTCATTGTTTTATGCAAAACACATATATACATGTATTTTTGATTTGGGGGTAAGAGGAGAGTCAGTCCCTTAATTTGACCCATGAAGCTTAGAGTTGACCTGTATGACGCTTCACGTGTCGGACAGTTCATTATTGTCCTGATCTTCTCATGTGGACTTGCATTTCAGCAAACATCCAGATGAAAGTACGCCAATGCGCGATCACTATACAAAACAATGTCTGCACATTTACAATATAACTCTGTTTACACTGCGGGAAATGCCTGACACGAGGACTATTAGCGCGATGTACCGAACGAAAACACTGCTGACGCGCAAGTCTCGTGTGTTCTGCTGCGTTCACATCTCATTGAGCTTCATCAGGGAGACGTGAAGAACATTGCACCGTAAGCCACAGCAGACATGCACTGAGCGTGTGCTGTTACTCTGGGTGCGTGTGGAGGCCGTTCTTGCTGCTCGAGTGTTTCCGGCAGAAGTCCTGATGAATGAGCTCCAGCTCGGACACCAGATGAAGGCCCATCTCCAGGTGCATCTTCAGGTTCTCCAGCCACGACTCCAGCTTCACAAACGCAGGCCTGCGCAGAGAGCACACACACGTCTATCAGCACTGTTTCACTCTTCTATTATTTTAGCTTTGTCAAATCAACCGTAATTGCTTAAAAATAACTATCTGTTATCTAAATTTTGTTTATAGGGCTGTCGATTCAACATGTTTCTAGGAACACACTAGTGATCGACCGATATTGATTTTTTATAACCGATACCGATACCAATTATTTGCGTGTTTATGTGCCCGATAACCGATATGCAGAACCGATATTTATTTACTGTTATAAAGTAAATAAATGACTGAGTGAAGTAAGAACATACTTCACTTTGGTTTTTCCTCCTTTCAGTCATCTTAAAAAAAGTGTTGAAAATTAGCAGTCTTTCATGTTAAATTTAATCTTCATATTACAACAATAAAAAACATTTTATTTAAAGCATCAGCAGCAACACTAATATTAACAATAAGCAAAATAAATGTAGAAGGTCTAATGTTTTCAAATGGAGAAAATAAATGAAGTAAAGGAGTCATATCAACTTTAAACTACAGTTTTAGTAGGTTTATAAGCTGTTTAATAGGCTAAAGAGTGAAGAATAATTCACTGGATAATGTTAATTCACTGAATAATATTCTCTGGAATATAGAAATATAACAAACAAAACATCGTATTTTATTCCATTTCTCAACTGGCATGTTATATCAGAATTACTAATAATGTTTTTGTCCTTCTAGATTATGAAATGCCTGCTGACAGCGCGGTTTATCTATGCATTTACACAGAACTATACTCAAACTGCGATCGCTCGTGGAGATAATAAATAATTAATTTCCATAGAGTTGTATCTATTTAGATATTTATTAGCGAAATAATGGTTATATAGTAAATGTTAATACAATTTAGGGGTGTTTTAAACAAGTGAATCTAGTTAAAAGTTACATGCGGTGGCCGTGCTGAAGCATTTCCTGAGCATCAGCCCGGTGAGTGAACAGCAATATGAAAGCGGCTTCACGAGACTAATGTTGAGCAAATATACAACAGAGAAGTAAATTCAGCGCTGAAGCTTGTGTAAATCCTAGTTACCACGGGATGTCAATCCCGTGGCAAAAACAGAGAAACAAATAAGACAGAGATATGTCTTGCTGATAAGACGGATAGCTCACATGTGCTCAGGGTGTGCTAGCGATCAGATCACCTCAGCAGTGTGGCTCATTCTTGAAGCACAGTTTTGCCTGAATGGTGATTAGATTCACTGTTTTGCATCGCTGCATTTAATCTGAGAATGCAGTACAGAACGACGCGTCCGGTGTGCGAGAGAGTCCACACGTCTGGTAAAGTGTTTTATTTACTGAGGGGATGTTGTTGGCCTACTTGTAATAACATGAAAGTAAAATACACAAATAACATTTTGAGTATCAACTTGTGTTTCTGAATAAATAAAGCAGTAATTGATGTCATAAAATCAAGAGTCTGTTTTGATTTAAAGGTCAGAAGCTATAACTTACAGTAATAAAAATCACAAACATGACACTTGTAAATTAAATAATTTAATGTATACAGATTTATTCAGTAGGATGTAATATATGTTTTCAAACGGATTAAGAAAAATCTAATATAAGGAGCTCTAAAAGATTTTTTAGAATTTGTACTTTTGCTTTAGACCATCTATTAATGTTAAATCCACAAATAAAATGTTAAGGTTTCAACTACATCTGTTTAAGAAAAAAAAAAAAAACACAGCAAAAATTGATTTTATTAGTTATTTTCAAGGCTTTCAATGTACTGCCATAAAAAAAAAGATAAAGTTGATCAAGTTTATTAGTTCTAACATTCTAAGTTTTTGCTCAAAATTAAAAATAATTTGTTTATAGCTTCCGTTTCGGTGGTGTTTCAAAACAAAGCGAAATGTATATCAGTATAGGCATCGGCTAAAATGATTTGAAAAATATCGGTATATCGAATATCGGCATGTTCATTTCGTGCGATTAATATGACGATGCAGGACGACTGACTGACTGACTGTGTGTTGGAGTCAATCAGAATGCCGTTATATGAACCAAAAATCCCACAAATGAGGGCAAGATATGCTCTTCCTCTTATATTTATATCACATGATATAGTTTAGTAATATCACACCAGCAAGTGTGCTGATTCCCTGATATCTGCATCACTGCAAATGTGACATTGATTTATATTGTCAATATTGCTGCAAACAAAAATATTACTATAAAGTCACAGCAGAACTGTTGAGCGTCTCTCATCAACACACAGCGGTGATTCGTTACTGAATGAATACATGTTTTTAACAAATCAAGTAAGTCAATGATTCAGTAATTCATTCATTAAGACTCCATTTCTGAATTGAATCACTTGCATGAATGACTCAATGACTCACTCGTTAAGTGCCTCGCTGCCACCTACTGGCAGTTTTAGTTTCACATTTAGATTATCATTTCATTTTCTTTTAATTATTTCATATTTCAATATTTATGTATTTATTTTTATAAACCCCATTGATACCCATTTGTTATCATTGTTTATGCAATGCTGAATCAAAATATTTCTTTCTCAAGCTACCTTTTTCACACACTCACACTCACACACACACACACACACACACTCACTCACCTCACACACACACACACACACACACATACACATACACACACACACACATACACACACTCACCTCACACAGCATGATGCCAAACGAGAAGATGTCCACCTTCTCATCATAGCTCTTCCCTGAGGAGCAGATGGAGAAACAGCATTGTCATTTTAAAAATTTTTTTGTTTGCATCTATTAACCTACAAGTTCAGGTTCATCAAACAGAATAAATAAAATAAAAAACATGTTTGAAACCTTTTTTTTTTAAAATAATGATGTGTGCACTCACATTCAAGGTGTAAATAAAGTATTCAATTACTTTTTTACATTTAGGAGACAAACATGATTTCTAAGAACTTGGCACTTTTAATAAATCTCTGAAATATGGTTCATCCTAAAACAGCACAAGAGCTCTCTGTAAGAACATTATGATTAACAGAGAGAATAATACGTTAATGACAGACAGATGATAAAGTCTGTCGTCTCTGACCGTGAATCATTTCGGGAGCCATCCAGTACGGGTTTCCCACCACGGTGTATCTCTTTCTCCTGTCGGGTTTCCTCACGCCTGGGATCTGTCCTGAGGACAGCTTGTCCTGATTCTTGTCCTCCACCATGAGTCGGGACAGTCCGAAATCCGCCACAACAACACTGTTATTCTATCAAGAGCAGGAAAATCAACAATCAACAC